TGCGCGCGCTCGCCTGCTTCAGACGTGCATACTGCACGTACTGCTCGCGTGCCGCTGGCTGCGCGCGCTCGCCTGCTACAGACGTGCATACTGCGCGCACTGCTCGCGTGACGTAACTGCGCGCGCTCGCGTGCTTCTGGCGTGCATACTGCGCGCACTGCTTGCGTACCGCTGGCTGCGCGCGCTCTCTTACTTCTGGCGTGCATACTGCACGTGCTGCTCGCGTGCCGCTGCCTGCGTGCGCTCGCCTGTTTCTGGCGTGCCTACCGCACGTGCTGCTCGTGTGCACACTGCACGTGATGCTCGCGAGCCGCCGACTTCCGGTGCCGTACGACTGGCAGTGACGCAGAGGGCGATGTCGCTCGATCTGCGGCCTGCTGCTTCACTCGTCGGGGACTATGATGCCTTTGGTGAGTAGTTCGTTTGCAGTCCTGCTGAGCTACTTATGCGCTCCGCCTGCATTTTCAGGATTATCTATCAGGACGATCGAGCGGGACGCCCGCCCCACGTGGTGCAGCCTCACATTGTGGGAGCAGACTGGAGCTGGGACGGCTGCCCCGTCGAACTTTCGGGAGGCGCGGTCCTAACAAGATCTTTCGCACGTTTGCGCATCATCGTTACGAGTGGACCCTAGTGATATGAGCACAGTTGCTGGACCATCGATGCCATTACTTGAAGACGAAGGTCAAGAAATAGACCAAGTAACTAGAGACTCCAGAAGAAGAACACAGAAATGTGGTCGAGGACGAACCACAGTCAGGAGAGGCCGAGTAAGGAATACCCTACAAAAAGGATATAAAACCGGCGCGCAGCNGACCATCGATGCCATTACTTGAAGACGAAGGTCAAGAAATAGACCAAGTAACTAGAGACTCCAGAAGAAGAACACAGAAATGTGGTCGAGGACGAACCACAGTCAGGAGAGGCCGAGTAAGGAATACCCTACAAAAAGGATATAAAACCGGCGCGCAGCTTCGTCACCCGCGCATTTGTCGGTGTCGGTTGACATTCGTGAGAGAAGGTAGTCGTGGACATGGTGTGCGTGAGTCATTGTTTTAAGTCTCTGTAAATGTGTGCTTAAAGACAAGATAATATCAAAGTGTTTATTATGTATTCTGGTTGTTTGGTGATTTATGTTGAATTAGTCAATTAATTAGAGTTTGAGAATAACAAAAGTTAATGTGTGCTAATCATTGTTATTTTTTTTAAATGGTGTTTCTTCTGAATCCTAAATGTATAATCTTCTATAATCTCAAATTTCGCCAAGACTACACTCTAAAAATATTAACAAAGACAAACAATATTTAATGTATTCTCAATTTGACAACAGACGTCAAGAACAAAAGTTTGACAATAAATAGTATGCATGCGTGTGTGCGTCAAATACATGGTATGTAGTGTGTGTAATGTTTTCTCTATTGATTTAATGTATCTTTTATGCATTATTTTAAAAAAATATTAGCATTGTGCACTTCTTCTCTATATTCTCTATAAGTGTGGAAAATTTCATACTCCTCCGTCTGCGCAATTTTCGTAAAAAGGGATACAAAGTTTTTGCTTCACGTATTAATATATAGATACTATAATAGAACTCAGGCTTGATTTGCAGGCAACCACCACAAGATGCTTTATTCCAAATACAAACCTATTTTAAGGGAATAATGTCTATGGTCGAAATAAGAAATATTAAAAACAATAAATACTCTTTCGTATTACTGGTGGTAGGACCTCTTGTCCGCGCGGGTGGGCGCCAGCACCCTGCCTATTTCTGCCGTAAAACAGTAATGCGTTTCGGTTTGAAGGGTGGGGCAGCCGTTTTAACTATACTGAGACCTTAGAACTTATACCTCAAGGTGGGTGGCGCATTTACGTTGTGGATGTCTATGGGCTCCAGTAACCGCTTAACACCAGGTGGGCTGTGAGCTCGTCCACCCACCTTAGCAACAAAAAAAAATCGTGTCTTCAGTATTAGGACCGCCGAAACAACATAAACATCAATAGGTTCCTAATAGTAGGTATATAAGGAATTATGATACATATAGAGCTTAGTGAAAATGATTGAATGTCAGTTATATTATTTCACCGAGTTTCAATCAATAGGTTAGCAGCGGCTTGGTTCTGCCCCTGACATTACTGAAGTCCATGGGCGACGAAAATCACTCACCATCACGTGGGCCGTATGCTCGTCTGCCTACAAGAATAATAATTTTTTTTAGAACCAATTTGTTGAAGAAGTTGGGCTGAACTAGAGCATTTATTATTATTTTTTTCCCTACCTAAGCTGAAGGTCTAGAGAGACCATATCAGCGTCACCAAGTTAGTAGGTGAGCTCACGAGGCTCAAACCTGACCTAGCAAGAGTCGTGCTTCGCAGAATCTCCCACCGGATCGGAAACGCGACTCACTGAGAAGATCCGGTGAGAAACTCTGTGAGCTAATTTACTCGCCGAGCCCTTTGTCGCAAGCGACGGGTTCGACGAGAACGATGACCGGTGCTTGAGGTACCTAAAAGCACCGTTAGTGGATCGGGAGGATTAACGACACAAAGTAATTTAAACATTAGAAAGGTCAAAGACATAAAAATTATACAAAAACAATGAAGTTTTTAAAAAATAATAATAATAGGCAATCGCTGTGCTTACAAGAACGAAGTTAAAGCAGAATGTTAACTGTTAAGATCCATCAGTCTCCAAATACAACTGAACAATTTGACGATGACACAGCAAAAAGAAAACATGTCATTGACTTCTACTTACCGCTTAGTCATTTTGACAATATTTTTTTGCAAATTGTCAAGATAAGACAATATTATAGGTAGTTGATTCCAAGCATTATTTTTGGTATAAATTATCAAGGTTTATGTATTTCATGAAATAAGCTTAACATGTTAAGCACGAGCTCATTCATCGACGGCTGATGCTGGTCTGTCAGATACGGCCATGTCAAACACCAGTGACTTAGTGTTTAACATGCTTTAATATACTATTAAAAATTTATTAAAATTCATTAATTAATGATTTAATCAAATTTATTAAAGTATGTTCATCTTTTACACTTATGAACCTATCATAAAAAACCGAACACAAAATGTAACAACTTGCCTAATTGTTTTTCTGGCTGTTGTTCTACTGTATTTTGGTGCATATTTATCATAACTCCATAAACAATAATCATACTTTGTTGGAGTTAGAGGTTATTGGTCTTTGTTATTGTTTTTAACATACCATTCAACTTCCACAGGGAACTTCATTAAGAATCGGAGTGATGTTTAACATGTTAAGCATGTAAATGTCCCAACAAGTTTTATATGAAATAGATTGCCAATAGATGTCATGTCAATACTGGCAGCCAGTTTGAGATGTGACCTCAAATTCGAATGGGGATAAAACAGTTAAGTTTTTGATGAAAATTGTGATGTATTGCTGTCCTTTTCTTGTAATTACGAATTGTTTTTGTAATCTCTTAAATGCTCTTAAATTTTGGAGCCATACATCATGTCACTGTCCGAAATAGTATATTAGACAATGAAAATAGTTTACTCTGTAATTTTGCTTAAGTTATGAAGGCGTTTCTGATTTGAGTTTTTTTTCTGTAGAAGTTAAAGCTTCAGAAATATTATGTCTTGTTCTCTCAGAGGCTAAGATCTATACATATATAAGTTTATATCTTGTTAGTATTACTAGTGTTTCATTAAATTTTAGATCGGTAAAATTTCAATTAATAAAATTAATTGGTTTTAAAAAACTGGTAAATTTTAAACAGTAGATAGCGGCTTGGTACTGCCTGGCATTGCTGACATCCGTGAAAGACTAACCACTAACCATCAAGTGGACCATATAGTTGTCTGCCTATAAGGGCAATAAAAAAACATAATGTTGCTATATAAGTTTTCATTCCAGAAGCTTTAGCACTAGAGAGTAAGTACTCTTTAATACAAAATTACAAATCACTTGTTTGTATCCCTTTTGTAAATTTAGTTTTGGATCCTACTGACTCTATATTCTTCATAAAGGAATGTGGGTGAAATATAGTAAACACGAAAAAAAAATTAAAGATTAAAATAGTTATCAGTACAACCAAATATCCCGTGGCAATTTTATTTACAGAGTGACATGTTTTGATATAAAATTCACACTAAAACATGGCTGACACAAACTTGCCGCTGTCAAGTTGTCACCTTATAAATGTTTGGTACACAATTTCTGATTAGGCTGATTGTGGTAGCAATTTGAGTATATTCCATTTGTGTATATTCTTGTTGATAAGTAATAACTGTATAGATGATGGTTTGATTTTCATAATAAGCAGGTCAGTTTCTTATGCCATACATAAGTAGATGGGTAAATTACCCATCTAGTGTTAAGTGGCTATCAGAATTCAAATGCACAATAAATAACAATAATAAACACAGTTTATTACATTGTGTGTTACATTGTGAGAATGAAGTCAAAATATAATGATGAATATTGTATTGCAGCAACTAATTTGCTTGTTTTTAGAGGTGCCCAAAAACACATTACAGGGACAAAATATGATCTTAAACTGTTGTTCTGAAATATCAGTCCACCTGCAGAAATTTGCACAAATTTCAGCATATTTCTTAAATACTAAGAATTGTGGTTTAAGTACCCTTTTTCAACAACATTCCTTTTTCCTCTATTATAGCTTGTTTATTTTTGTAAAAATGTAAATAAGTCTACTTTGATGAGTTATTCCTGACCATGAAAACTTTACAGTATTCGAAGCGTCGGAAAAATAATGAGAATATTAAATGTGAGTTTATACTATAAAGTTAGTTATGATTCTATGACTCGCAAAAGCCGAAGAAAATACTACAAGACCTTTTAAAATCAAAATTCTTGATTTATAAATATAAGTAGAATCTTATCAGTAATACTATAGTCCAAATAAAACTACGCAAAAATTTAAATTGAACTTTGAATTATTGTAAAATAATGTCATAATTTTGTTGTGTTGATGATGTATAAATATTTTTCTCACCTGAACAGCAAACGAGGAACTTGAAAAAAGTGACGAAAAATGCATTATAGAAGTTAGCATCGTAGTAATTCACATCTGGCTCCAATATATCGACGTGGTCCACTGTGACATTGCTCAATACTGGCACTTCCTCGCTGGACACGGGCAGCCCTAGGCTGATCTTAAGGAACTCATCCACCACAAACAACGGTGGCACCCTCAGTAGCACCTCCACTAGTGCCAGGGCCTTCAACCTCAGCGACATTATTCATTTAAGCGGAAAGTCACACACGTTATCACTGACAATTTAAATACAACACAAGCATCTGTTACACACTGCATACGTCTACTATACCAAGTTGAAATATATTTTATAACTGAAATTAAATTGAACTTATAAAGGTGTGCTTTATTCGTCTTGTTTTAAAAAAAAATAACGTAAATTGATACGAAAAAATGACTGAAAATTTGCGACAATAAAAATTTGACGTTACAAATTTAGATGTTGCCCTGTTGCCAAATTTTCGAAGTAAATAAAACCATAGATAATGAAACCTAATTAAAGCGATGAAGTTAAAAAGAGACAATTTAGTGTTGTCATATTCTTTGTGAGAAAATGTACTATGGTTTTGAGTTGTAGAGTAAGTACATTGTAGGTCAAGTTGAGGGCTCTGCAATCTTGTAAAATATCGAGAAGAGCCGCGTCAAGGTTTCTTATCGATCAGAAATAATAGTTGTATATTTTCGAAGTAAAAACTTTTTAATTAGTTAGTCTAGTCTTAGTTAGTTACTTAGTCTTTAACACTATTGTGATGTGAAACTCGATTATAAGCGTTTCTAAAAAGACAAACATACACAACTTGCATCAAATGTTTGAAAAAATGAGGAAGGTAGGTTTCTACCGTACATGCACTGGTGGTAGGACCTCTTGGGAGTCCGCACGGGTAGGTACCACCACCCCGCCTATTTCCGCCGTGAAGCAGTAATGCGTTTCGGTTCGAAGGGTGGGGTAGCCGTCGTAACTATACTGAGACCTTAGAACTTATATCTCGAGGTGGGTGGTGCATTTACGTTGTAGATGTCTATGGGCTCCAGTAACCACTTAACATCAGGTGGGCTGTGAGCTCGTCCATCCATCTAAGCAATAAAAAAATAAAATAAAAAAAACATGCTGCATACATATTGTGAGATATTTAGGTTTTAGGAAATACCTATTACCCTCTGACTTTTTTTTATATCTGGATGGTGCAGTAGTAGCGTCCCTAACCAGCCGTGAGTGGTGGGTTCGATTCCCACATCGGGCAAAAATTGTGTGATGAACAGGTTTGATTGCACTTTGTCTGGGCGTTTATTATCTATATATGTATCCATTTAACAATATTTAACTAAGTTTTAACTTTAAATTGGGGCCGGATAACACTGTGTAATTTGTTACCAGTTATATTATTAGTTAAAATTATTATTATCTGATAGCTACCGTTACATTCACCTTCGAGACCAGAATCGTGCCGGTAAATTAGGACAAGTTGGAAACAGTGGCGTAGCTAGGTAGCCAAGGGCCCTGGGGCAAATTAAATAATGGGGCCCCACTGCTATGTAAGCTGATTAGGTTTTATCAAATAAAAATATGAAATATACAAATACTTTAAAAATACTAAGCTACTTAAGCTCTTTTTTGTGCACTGCAGGGCAGGTAATAAAAATATTAAACAGTAACAACATTACATGTTGAGGAAAAGTCTTCGCATTATATGTACTTGTAATAAAATCTCTTTGGCTATACTATTTGTATCTGGCTGGTTTTGGTATAATTAAAAGTTTAAATTTAAAAAAAAGATAATACCAAATTCAAATTAGGAAAATGTGTGATTTTTATTTATTTTTCGTACTGTCAAGATGAGCTAATCTAATGTAGAAATTCGATATATTTTAAAATTTAACTACAAAAAAGGTAAAAATGCAACGTAAGTCGTGAAAAAAAATTTGCGATGTTTATTGGACCTAGTGCAGGGTCTGTGAGAGTAGCACAAATTTGGTTTAAGCGTTTTCAATCCGGAAATTTTGATGTCAAAGATGCACGTTGCTCTGGTCGCCCTATTATGGATAAAATGGATGCCATTTTCGAAAAAGTGGAGCAAGATCGGCATATCAGTATTTACGAGGTAGCTGAAGAACTGGGAATTGACCACAAAACAGTTGGCACATTTGAAAAAAACTGGGTACACAAAAAAGCTCGATATTTGGGTACCTCACGAGCTCACCGAAAGAAACCTAATGAACCGTGTACTCATTTGCGATTATTTAGTACGACAAAATGAAACCGAACCATTTTTAAAGAAGCTGATAACTGGTGATGAAAAGTGGATCACGTACAACAAGAACGTGGTCAAAGGCCGGTCAGGCTTCACAGACTGTGGCGACACCCGGGTTAACTCGCAACAAGGTGATGCTGTGTATGTGGTGGGATTGGAAGGGCATTATTCATTATGAGCTGTTACCACTAGGCAGGACCATCGATTCTGAACTCTACTGCGAACAACTGACGAGATTAAAGCAAGAAGTTGATAGAAAGCGGCCGGAATTAATCAACAGAAAGAGTGTGGTTTTTCATCATGATAACGCTAGACCTCACACACCTTTAGCCACTCAGCAAAAATTAAGAGAGCTTGGCTGGGAGGTGTTAATGCATCCGCCGTATAGTCCTGACCTTGCACCTTCAGATTTCCACCTGTTTCGGTCTCTTCAGAATTCTTTAGGCACTGTCAGGTTAACATCACGAGAGAAATGCCAAAATCAATGGTCGCAGTATTTTGATCAGAAGCCCCAAAAATTCTATAGCAATGAGATCATGTCTCAATCTACAAGATGGCAAAAAGTTATCGAACAAAATAGCACCTACATACTTTAGTTAAATGTAAACCAGATGATGTTTTTTTTTGATAACGCCATCTTGTTGTGTCGTCGTTAAAGCGGTTAGTTGCCCTCAATTAAGAAAAATAGTATTATTATTCGCTAATAGATGTCGGAAAGAGTTGATTATTGAAAACACGAATAAAATAACATTTTCTGAAAATAAATCGTAGCTAGATCGATTTATCGCCCCCGAAATCCCCTGTATACTAAAATTATACTAAAATATTAAAAAATGCTAAGAAACTTTTCCCCCAACCTATTACAATGCGCTGTAGCCCAAATCTATAGATTTGACACGATTTATTGACTTAACGGACATCAATATGAGTGGTAAAATAAAATAAAATTGAACCACTATGTTGACCAGTACAAAAAAGTTTAGTGACATTAGCTTACTTACTCCTGATACAGCATAAATTTTTTAACCGTTCTCGAAAAAAAAATCTTAACTCGAATTTACAATAAAACGCATATCGATGAATAATAAAACGCACATATCACTATCCGTCAAATTGACAACATTGCCATCCTACAGAAAGAATTTAGGGGAATCCCCTAGGCATAACTTTTGAATTTCTCTCATCTGAGCTGTCATGATCATAGACCTATATAGTAGGGACACGACATATTGTTCTATACGTACAATTGCTTATATAAATAGCACCCATTTTGAAGGCACATACATAAACATATATCTATCTCGTTCTTACTCAGCACTTTAACTCGCAGGAAAACAATATAACAGTATTTCAGTGCGTACATAAAATGAAACATGAATATACGTAAATGTCTCCGTCTCCGTCTAATGAGGCCGAAAATCCGCCATGTTTAGCGCGCCAAATGTCATTGTCACGTCAGTTCGGCCGTCTGTTTTGGGTTGTACATTATTTATTGACTTTGATATCGATTTAATATGATTGCTTATATAAAATTTCTTATTTTATCATGCTTAAAACATACAAAAATAATAATTAAAACATATTTTATAGGATCTCAAGAAAGTCGATGCCCCAAAACTATTATCTATATATATTTAAATTCATTATGGAGCCCTCATCCGAAAAATCGGACACCATTTTTCGGTCGGAATCTATTGATCATGACACTAATCATAAATACCTCTTTAAAATATGTCATCAAAACATATTTAGACATTCTGTTTAGATATTTCGGGAAAAAGGCTACCGACAAAATCTCTTCGGAACTATTTAAATAAAATAGTTTTATTCCGCAGTGAGTAAAACACTATTGTAAATTTGTTAAATATTTAATAATTAAGTGATTTTAGAGAGGAAGTCACAAGGAATGACGTTTGTAATTTTATTAACGAATAAATGTTCTGTAGGTGTTTTTTTTTTCACGCGGTCCCTTGATAAGTTTAAAATTTGAATCACTCTCAAGTGAAAGTGATTCAAATGGTGCGGCGCACCTTCCTTGGGGTGCGCTGCGGTAGTATGTTACGGACTTTAGAGTCAGCAAAACAATTAAAATAGATTGTAATAGTCTAAGAAAAACACGTACTCAAAATACGATAACATTTAGCATGCTAGAAATGGGCTGATGGCTTTGAACTACGCCATATCTTTATGTTTTGCGACAAACGACAACTTTATAAAATCAGTGTAGCAACTTTTAAAAATCATCATATCGTTTACTTGGCAAATTCGAAGGACGAACTTGTCTTAGATTTCACCCATCTAAATCATATCATATTTGCACATAACAATATACCTACTTACTTCCCATTAAAGTATAAATTCTACAAATAAATAATACTCAACAATACTTAAAATAAAATGAGCCAAGAACGTTTATCGATAAAACCTGATAACATTGAAATCTTTTGTACAGCACTAAAGCCGCCATGTTTTGTGGCCAGATGACGTCACACTGGCACGAAATTTTGGTTGACGTTTCATTTCCATAGGTTTCCTACTTCATTGGTCATGATTAAGGCGGGGTTGCAACCTGTCATCTTTATTTTGAAAATGGGAGAAATTTCCAAAAGTTCAGTTCGATCGAGATTTCTGGTAAGGATTCGAGGGCCCCCTAAGCTTGAGGGCCCCGGGGTACTGCCCCGCCTAGCCCCTAGATAGCTACGCCACTGGTTGGAAATGTGTGACCACAAGGGTTAATGATCTGGCCGTAGCCAAAGAAAAGAATCGTAAAAAAGCCAAGAAGCGTGCTGAGTCGGCTGAATTGGACCTGTCAAGGCTAAGATGCTGGATTGTTTTAGGATGGCTATAATTGGTAGCTTGTGTAAACTTCGTCAAGATATTGTTGTTCAAAACCTGGGAAAATGAAAACTTCAGGTTCTTGTACAATATCTCTAATTAGAGCCACACAACAATTTTAAGCATCATATCTTTTTTTAATTTCTTAAAATTTGGATAAACGAACTCACAGCCCATCTGATTGTTAAATGGTAACAAATTCTACGATATAACTAATTTAAATAACCCCATACACCTTAAGACCCGAGTTCCCCACCTTTCAAAGTGGAACGTATTATTTCTACACCGTTGGAACAGGCGGGGTGGTGGTACCTACGTCTTACTGCCTGCCATCTAATCCTAGGACAAGTAACATTGCATTAAACGTAACTTAATTTTATTACCTAACTGAA